AAAGTGTGACTTAATCCCGATATGTTTATTATAATTAAAAGTCCTTAAAGAATTACTTCAGTTTACCTTGGTCTATTTGTAAAGTGAAACACCTTCTTTTCAGATAATAGCTATTATCAAAATAAAAAGTTCATCGTATTCTAGATTTAAACAATATTTTATCAATTTTTCTATAAATAACGGAATCTATGATTTGGTAAATCTAGTATTTATGACACGAAAAATAAAAATACCTTTAATGCCAAGAATTAGAAACCAAAGTTCTATTATCATAAGTTATTCCGCCGTATTAAAAGTTTCGAAAATGTTCTTTTATTATGGTAAAATTTAAAATTCTCCACATCACATTCCCTATCATTCCCTATCATAGATTAAAAAATATATCTAATCTATACGTTTTTGTTTGACAGGCCACATCTAGAAAAGCGATTGTCACGCTTTCTAAACAAATAAAATTGGTGTTAGAACGTAGAACTAATTCTCGAACGTGTCTACTCGGCCTATCAACCGTGGCAGAAATGTTAACAATTTAATTTCAATGTATATTCAATGAAATTGAAGATAGTTCTAAATACAAAATATTATATTATTTAATTTAAGTAATATATATAAGGTTGAATGCTTGAATAGATGAACTTGGATCAATTAATTAATCAATAAAATAACTTGGGCAAATTTCGAGCACAGTTTAATTAATTTAATCTTGCCCAAGTACTTTCGCTCCCTAGACCATCTTCAGGGGCATTTCGTCAATTGTGGCCTATCCGACAAGACTAAAATGTTATAAACATAAAACGGTACATCACACTACACTACACAAGGACAAACAAACACTTCAAATTTTTTTTTTAATAGGCGAAGCTACATTATGTACAGAAGCCGGAGACGGAATCAAATAATTATTAATGCCTTGTGATTTGAAAGCCCTAAGGTTAAATTTTTATATAACCGAGATTTAAAATATAATAGTTACACAAAGACATTAAGATAATACAATGAACACAAAAAATGCAAGAAATATTCAATTTTTCAAGTTATGTATTTCCTGAAGAATACAGTCGAGGACAACTTATACGTATTTATATCCTAGAAGACTATACACATGGAAATCATCTGCAGACAGAAAAGACAGAATTGTTAGAAATCAAATTGACTCCATTTTGCTCGATAACACCTATGGTGCTGATATACGTAGCGATCACAATCCAGTTATAATGGATTTTAGATTATAAAGATTTCTCAAAGTCAAAAAGAAAACTGTGACAAGAAAAATTGACATCACACAACTGAAGAACCCTGAACAGAAAAAATAAATAAGTATCAAGCTTGAGGAAGACATAAAAACGATCGAAAACTTGGTACAGACAGACATTGAAGTAACATGGACTGCTCTAAACAAAATAACAAAGATATAAGAAGAAATCTGGTTAATAAAACACAACAAAAAACAAGAATAAATAACTCAAGATATCATGGACCTCATGGACGTAAGACATAAAAGAAGCCCTATTGAATACAAGCGAATCAATAAAATCATTAGAAAAAAGTGCAGGAAGGCGAAAGAAGACTGGATGTCAACAAAATGCTTAGAAATCGAACAACTTCAGGAAAACGATTACACCTTTAATATTAATAAAAAAGGAAAAGAAATGACAGGTTTGTACCTACCTGTCATTTCAAAGAGAAAAGCAACAATATTAAAAAATTATAATAACGAAATAATTATGGGTACAGAAGACAAACTAAAGAGATAAAAAGAATACAAATCTTTTTGACGACGATAGACCTTATTTCTACCATCCACAGATAATCGTATAAATAAAAAAGGTTCAGAAATAACCAAAGAAGAAGTGATGAATCTCAGAAAGATGGAAAATCCACCTATCCAGACAATATCAATGTCGAAAATCTAATCTAATCTACCTAATTAGCCTTCTTCGGTCCAACTTTGGACATAGGCCTCCCCAATCCTTTTCCATTCTTCTCTGTCTGTCGCTACAGTCATCCATCTAGAGCCCACGTGCTTCTTGATATCATCTGCCCATCTCATTTGGGGCCTTCCTCTGCTTCGTTTATATTCTCACTGTCTCCAACTTATAAGAATTTGGTTCCATCGGTCTTCTTTTTGTCTTACATTGTGTCCGGCAAGTCTCCATTTTAATTTTGCAACTTCTTGTCTAACATCCCTCACTTTTGTTTTCTCTCTTATCCACTCGTTTCTCTTCTTATCCATTAGTCTTATGTGCAACATTTGTCTTTCCATTGCTCTTTGGGTTTTTATGATTTTGTCCATGTTTGCTTTTGTAGATGTCCACGTTTGGGAACCATAAGTAAGAACAGGGAGTACGCATTGATTATTAACTTTGGTCTTAAGATGCTGTCGATATCTTTTGTTTTTAAGAATGTAGCTTAGTTTGCCAAATGCCGCCCATGCCAGTCTAACTCGTCTCTTGATCTCTGTTGTTTGGTTCTCTTTGTTAAGTTTTATAGTTTGACCAAGATTATCAATGTCGAAATACTAAAACTAATTGCAGATATCGAAAGTAAAAGCCTAGACTTAATAACAGCACTATTCAATAAGATATATGACACAAGTAAAATACCAACAGACTGGCTAAAATCAACATTCGTAGCATTACCAAAAAAAATCGAATTCCTCACAATGCGACGATTCTCGAATATTAAGCTTAATGTCTCATGTCCTTAAAACTTTTCTCAGAATGATCCATACACGAATGTACAAGAAGTGCGAGTTTGGATTTCGAAACGGATTGCAAACACGAGTGGCTTTTTTTGCTTTAAACTTGTTATCGCAACGATGTAAAGACATGAATGTAGATGTATATGCATGTTTTATTGACTTTAGAAAAGCATTTGACTGCGTAAACCATTAAAAGATGATCGAAATTCTAAGAACAACTAGAGTTGACGAATAAAAATTGCGAATTACCTCAGAATTATACTGGCCCCAAACGGCAACAATTGAAATAGAGCACACAACATCTGAAAATATACAAATCCGACTAGGAGTGAGACAGGGTTATCGTGCGTCTTATCACCGCTACTGTTTAGTTTGTATTCGGAGTCTATATTCAGAGAAGCATTAGACTAGGTCCAAGGTGGAATTAAGATTAACGGAATCAGCATAGACAACATCATATATGCGGATGATACCGTCTTAATAGCAAGCAACGCACAAGAACTACAAAATATAATAAATGTAGTAGTTTCATCATCATCAGTGGTGCTACAGCTCTAGTTGAGCCTTGACCTTCCCCAGTCTATTTCGCCAGTCGTTTCTGTTCATCGCCAACCGTTGCCAATTTGCCGCGCCGATTTTCCTTGCGTCCTCGTCCACACCGTCCCTCCATCTCAGTCGTGGTCTGCCTCTACTCCTATTTCCCACTGGGACCGATAATAGAGTTCGTCTTGGTGGGTAATTCTCATTTGCTCTTGACACATGTCCAGCCCATCTAAGCCTGCCTATTTTTGTGAAGGATATTACATCTCTACCATTTACTATTTTTTTTATATTTCTCGTACAATTCGAAATTATATCGCCTTCTCCAAATACCATTCTCACAGTATGCGCCCATTATTCTTCTTAGTATCTTTCTTTCGAAGACGAGCAGAAGATTTGCGTCTGTTTTGGAGATGGTCCATGTTTCTGACCCATATGTCAGCACTGGTAGGATGAGTGTTCGATATATTATTAGTATATGAAATTCGATATATTATTAGAATTCGATATATTATTAGAAATGTAGTAGTTTATCACAGCTAAATGTTCGTTTTACGTCTAAACGTTTCCAGAATTAAAACTTTAGTATTTTCAAAGACACCAATAAACGTACATGTGTAATTCAACAAAAGAAATCCTATCAAGAATCGAACAAGCGAGGAAAACATTCATGAAGATAAAAACATTTTTTACAAGATCAGACCTTAGTCTGCAGCTTAGAATCCGAATGATCAGATATTACGTTTTTGCTGCCTTACTGTATGGCTGTGAAAATTGGACAATGGACTCTGAAATAGAAAAAAGAATAGATGCCTTCGAGATGTATATATACAGACGAATGTTGAGAATTCCATGGGTACAAAGAGTTACTAATGTTGAAGTATTTCATCGCATGTGTAAAAAAATAATTACTAAGATAATCAAAGTGAAGAAAATTCAATACTTGGGTTATGTGTTGAGGGACGAAAGATATGAATTAATTCAGGTTATACTGGAAGAAAAAGTACAGAGCAAAAGATCAGTTGAAAGACGCCAGAACTCATGGCTGAAAGACCTAAGGAGATGGTTTCGAACCGCTCATCCGAAGAAATCTTTCGCGCAGCAGTTTCCAAAACCACAATTGCCATTTGGATCGCCATCCTTCGAAAGGAGACGGCGCCAGGAGAAGAAGATCAATACCAAAAATACCTTTTTCAAGTATTGTTTTAAAAATAGTTTTATATTTTATATCTCATTTTACTATTAAGACAGTTTTAGCTGGCAGTCTTTTGGTTTTCCATCTATCTCCCGAGCTACCAAAGAAGTGAAGGAAAATATCTTATCATTTAAATGTCTCATAGACATCTCTATGAGACGTATCTCTCTGCATCCTATGTATTCTTCTTTAAGCAGAAAAACATAAATTACTGCTTTACACCTTGACATACATTTCCTTCAACTTTCACTTACACATTTATCCTTTACATTAATTTTTTTGCAATAATTGTCTTAATATCTTAAAATAGAATTTTTTTTCACATTACAGAGAACAATTAATACTAATACACTTAAAAAAAGAACAAATACACCTCAAGATGAAAATTTAAAAATATTTACTCTATCATGTTTTGTCACTATATAAAAATACTTTTTGTTAAAACATCAAACTAAGTATTTTGCTGTATAACTATATAAATGCAATTAAATTTTTTTAATTATAATTAATTCCCACCTGATATATTTCTACAACCTTAAAACGTTAGTAAACAGTTATATCATAGGCATGCAATCGCTAAGACATTGAAGAATGAAAATGAAAGTGTTTGTTTATTGTATACATGCATAAGGAGACTTTTGAGATGACTGAAGATAAATCTGTAAGTACATCTTTATAATAATATATTTTGTAGTTCAAATATTGTTTTTTATGTCGAAAAAAGTGAGCAATTTTTGATATACTATACACAAAGGAATTTGATTGATCTAATTTTATTTATTAGATCTCTTTTTTCATAATTTCAAGCTCTGTCTCTCATTATGTGCCGTACATTTTCTTCCCAGGCAACTGAAGGCTTTCCCCTTCTTCGTCTTTGTTGTGGTATGTAATTTAAAGCTTTCTTTGGCTATCTACCTTCATTCATTCACGCAACGTGACCATACCACGCTAGTTGTCTAGTTTCAATTCTGTCTACACTGAAATATACAGTATTTGTCCTCCTTATAATATCTTCATTCTTGGTATGATCTTTTTTGGATACATCACACGCTCTTCTTAGAAAATCCATTTCTACTACTTCTATTCTTTTTCTATCTTTTTTCGTGATCTGCCCAAACTTCTGCCCCATAAGTCATTATAGGCTCTCCAAGGTTCGATAGATTGTCAATTTCGTTTCTTGTCTAATCTTTTTACACAATAGTAGAGAGTTTAAAATGTTTACCGCTTTTTTTCTTTGCTGCCGTTCTGTTTTCGATGTTTGTCTTGGGAGTGCCTTCTTTAGATATTATAGATCCGAGATAGTTATATTCATTACATGTTTTTTTTAACATCCTATTTATTTAAAATCTGTAATAAGGATTACAATAAGTAAATTGTTTAATTAGATTACAAGAGGCTTGCAGGAGACTGTCCTGTGACAAAAGCCTATTAAATCATAATTTTAGTAACAACATTAATTGTGACTCTAATAATATAATGTTTATAATAAATAAAAAAATATTAATTTAAAAATTTAAAATTTTTGTTGGCAGATCGCTTGGAGTAAGACGCTTTAGCCTTCTGTTTGACTAGGCTTCTTCTCTAACATGTTGGGGTGGTTTTGCAGTCGTCTGTCATATTTTTGGGAGTAACTGGCAATTTCTTCTTTGACAGTTTTCATCTGAAGATCGCGATTGATGAATTCATTGGGTATATACCACGGTGCATTTATAATAATACGGAAGGTCTTCTATTGGAATCTCTTCAGTATGTCGATATTGGATCTTGACGCAGATCCCCACCGTTGGATCCCATAGCTCCATATTGGCTTTATCACTGACTTTTATACTAGGATTTTATTGTACAAACTTAGTTTGTGATCTATTTCCTATTAGCCCGTTTATGTTACTGAGTTTCAGATCCAACTGTTTTTTCTTTTCGGGAGTATTTGTTTCTCCCACGGTAATCTGCGGTCCAGGTGCATACCTAAGTATTTTATATCATCCTTTTTTGCAGCATTTGGATATTTAATGAGACGGTTGGGCATGTACCTTTTTAATTATTGAACGTTATATGTACTGACTAGCTTTCGTTTACTTTAATTAGCCATGTTTGTAACCAAATCTTTATTTTGTCGAGATTGGTCTGGAGCAGTTGTGAGGCGATATACAGGTTTGCTGTGTAAAGTAGGTAGAGAACAGGTCCAAGGACACTACTTTGGGTACTTCAGCTTTAATTGGATATAGGTTAGTGCACTGATCCTTTACTTTTACAAGGAAATGCCGCTCGGAAAGATAGCACTTGAGCATTAGAAAGTAGTTGAGAGGAAGGACTTGTCTTATTTTGTATAGCAGGTCATTATGCCAGACTTTAGTAAAAGCCTGCGAGATATCCAAAAAGGCTGCAGAACAGTATTTCTTCTCTTCTAAGGCTTTTTTTATGGAATTGCAGATTCGGTGAATTTGCTTAATGCTGTTGTCTTAATCCAAACTGGTGGTTGGGTATTAGCTGCTATTGTACAAGAATTGGCTATTTTGTGTTTCTAATTTCTAGCTCTGGATCTTCTTCATCATCTCCTATTTTAAGATACTTTGTCCTTGATATACCCATTGGTCAGAGAAGAAGAAGACCCATCAAGTTTCCTTGATAATCTCGATGAAGACATGAGAAATTTGGAAACACGTGCTTGGTAGAGAAAAGCGATGAATAGAGACGACTGGAGAGAAATTCTTGAGGAGGCTACAAACCACGCAGGGTTGTAAAGCTGTAAAGCTGTCAAGCCAGAATGATGATGATGATGCCAATAAATTCTATATAGCATTTAGAACCTTCAAAATCGTGTATAAGATTTTTTACCTTTTTTTTTGTTTGTTGGCTTAATCGGAGGAGATAATGGATAATTTGTTGAACAAAGTTCTTAGAACTTTCATGTTTATTTGGTCTGCTCTTATCGCCTTTCTTATAAAAAAATATGTGGCTATATCCTAATCGATGTGTTTTGAATGTTTAGTTATACCAATCAAAGTACGTAACTCTTTTTTAATTTACATAGCGTATATACGGTTACCAAATTAAAATAAATAAACATTGGATAAATCATATTCTACGAAGACTGACTTTATTTGTTATAAACTTTTGATAAAAAAACTCGAACACCTTGAAACATACAATATACAATGGAATAGTTCACGGTTTATAAAAATGAATACTTGATACAACTTGATATGTATACAATGATCTAAAGTAGATAATTACTTGCTTATTAAATGGAAGAAGCAAAAATACAGATAAAATTAGAAAAGCAACATAAAATATTGTTCCAGTGCATCGTGTTTTGACGGTTGGAGATCAACAGAGACATTTGTATCTCTGTCTTCCTCATTGTGAATTATCTATTTTTTTGTAAAACTAATTGAAACATATTATCTTGTTGATTATTTTTTATCTCATGGACGATATATGTCAACTTTCAAATTTTTATTCATATCGATGAGTCTTTCTCTTTGTTTAATCCTATCACCTAGTCTTAATTTGGTATATTGGTATTTGGTAACTTTTCTAGATATATGAATATAATGTCAATTTACAACGTTCTTCGACGTCTTCCGATTTCCAATCTTCATCTCATTCTATCCTTCTATAGATCGTCTTCCAGTTCCCTTTCCCTGATTTCTTTATCAACTCCTTCTTTCCAACTTCTTTCTAGGCCTTCCTGGTCTCCCCAATACCTCTAGGTTGCCATTCAAGAATTTGTCTTGGTGTTTTATTCTCTGGCATTCTCCTTACGTGTCCGTACCATCTGAGTTGTGTCGTTTTGATGTCATCAACAATATTATGTGTAACCCCCATTATTTCTCGGACTCTCTCGTTTGTTATTCTGTCGCGTGTAGAGATTCCCGCCGAAAAAACTGCCAAAAAGCCTGGGATGACAACCAGGAAGAAACAAAACGAGAATGGAAACAACGATTCTTCCAAACCTCACTTAAACTGCAAGTATTAGCTAAACTGCTACTATACACTACATATTTTCCATGAAAAGGGACGAACAGCGAGGAACATTTCAAATTTGACGTAAAATTTGGATCCACACTGAAGCCAACTGCTCCTAAAAGCACCTCAGTGAGAATGCTCTAATTCTTAAAAATCATTCGCTTCCCAACTTAGTATAAATAACACATATATCCGGAATATTTAATTGAAACGCAGAATATTGTAAAAGTGGTTTCAAGTAAAAGAATGCCGAGAAAATACGCATTTGTGAAATATAAACAAACTATAAAATGTGTTTTATATCAACTTCGGCGACGTAAAAAGAACGAAATACTATTTGGGGTATTTTAACTTTTACGATAGGGAACTGAAATACACTGAAATCATTATTCGGCATTTTAATATATATATATATATATATTATATATATATTATATATATATATATATATATATATATATATATATATATCTATATATATATATATATAATATATATATATATATATATATATATACGAGGGGATTTTAATATATATATCAAGGAATTTACAAATGCTACAACACAAATTCCCAGACTTATCACACGAAGAGGAAATGTCCCAGACTTATCTTTAGTTCGAGGACGTCAGGAATTTCAGTCACAGCGGTGAAAGAGTAGAAAACTATACCTATATCAGATCATAACTTAGATAGGCAATTTCTATATTCTGTTCTACGTGTTTGGACTCTATTAGTTACTTCATCTTTCTTTTTAGGACCCTTAAAACATTTTTTTTGTTATATTAATTATTTTATCTATTTGTGACTGAATTTATATATTTAAATTTTACACTTTCTTTTTTTAGATTGGGTTTGAGAATCCGGCTTTTGACCGAGGCCCCACTGACCTAGAAAATAATTCAGAAACGGAGCAATATTCAGTAGGTATTAGAATAAATTGTGGGCAAAAATTAATGTTAGTCACTTATACCAAAACAACTTGTTTGGTGAAGTATTAATGCTTTAATTTTAGCAAAAAGTAATTTAACTAACTTAACAAAATTACCAATGTGTTGCAGGGTAAATGAAGTTGTAAAATAGTAAAATTCATAATGGATATTGCTATTAGCCTTGCTATTTTAACTGCTTCCATTCATCTGTTCACATAATTAATCTCAAGAGAATATTCTTTAAAATTATCTTTCACTTAGAAAACACAATTTCTTCCATTTTCCTTAAAATTTTATCTTACGAGGTTGAAATATGCTGCGTTAAGTGTACTCCTTTTTGAGGAATTCAGGTTCAGGTAGTTAGGTGGTCACACAGTAAATTAAATATTAATTTCTAGACGGTTGTAGATTACTTGTACAACTTTTGGTTGAATATAGTGCAAAAAACTCCTCCTGACCATGGAGCTGCGCAAAGGCGGAGTCAAAATTCACGTAAATGCAAATAATGTAACGTAAATTCACTGTATAAATGCACTGTACTTACAGTGTGTTTTGCATGTAAATGGGGACTAAAGCAAATTTCGTCTACTACGCCGTGGTCAGGAGTATTTGCACTATCTCTAAGCATTATCTTACATAAATTAAAAATCATTATCATCATCATCATTCTAGCTGTACAACTCTATGCTGGTCCTAACCACCTTTAAAAGATTTCCTTCAGTCTTCTTTATCCATTGCTTTCTCATACAAAGCAAGTATTTCCGTATTTCTCATGTCTATGTTAATGTAATATAGTTCCACATAAAGATTATCTGTCTAGGATAATTTACTTCTGGCTAGATTTGTAACTACCTCTTTATCACCAGCATTAGTAATTCCTCTTCTTCCCGATCTATTTTATCTTATCTCTTTCATCTTGAAAGTTGTCTTATTCGTACTATATATTAAGTGCCTGACTAGCATGTACCACTAATCGATTTAATACATTATAGCTCTCCGTTAAGGCTTTTGAATTGACTAACCATTGTCTTGGGTTCCTTTTTGGTGGTGTTAACACTGGTGTTTTGTAATTAAAGATCATCAATGCAGTCGTTTCAATCAGCTAAATTGTAACAAAAGCTTCGAAAATATAGAGAAACTATCACAAGTATTGTGAAAAGTTTCAGTACATACGAAAGCTGAGCAATTTAGCAAAGTGGCAAATGAAGCTCTACAATTAAAACTAGCCAAATTAGATTTCTCAGAATGTAAAAGAAAGTACAAGAGGCTATAGAAAGAAAAATAATCAGAAAAGGATAAAAAATTATAGGAAAATAAGTTCCGTCAAGGCTATATGAAACTTTGGAGCATAACTTATTAGAATTTCACTTAACATTTTCACAGGTGAATTATATTTCTTTTAACTAGAATTTACATATTCTGCGTGGTGTAATAAAGAATGTAGGTAAAAAAATACGTATTTCAATAACATTTTTTGTTAATACATTAAGAAACAATACTTTTCAGAATACTCAACTTTCAAAACCCGTTGAACGTTCTCAATGGGGAAACGGTAACGAATTCCTGATGTCGTGCATTGCAATGTCAATTGGGTTGGGAAATATTTGGAGGTTTCCCTTTATCGCTAACAAAAATGGCGGAGGAGCATTTCTGATACCGTATCTCATAACTTTAACCGTGATTGGAAGACCGATGTATTATTTGGAGATGATTCTTGGCCAGTTTTCTAGTAGAGGATCGATTAAAGATGTACAGCAAGCTGTCACCTGTACTAAAAGGTAAACCATTACGAACTTATTTAAAAATTGGTACAGTAACGGTATTGTAGACTGCATTACAGTTCCGCAGTGAACTAGCTGATAATTTGATTAGCACTTCAGCTTTCACAAAATGTCACAAAAACTCAACTTTGAAAGCTGGTTCACACTTACTTACTAAAGGAACTTATAGGCCTGTGCCCTTTGAGCTTTATTTAAAAAGAAACAAATGCGCAGCAATTTGATCTGTCAAGTTTATAACGTTGCTCTATGCAAAGACTGCTTTACATCCTTCCGTAGGAGGTAGAAAGTTCTTAGATAATAAATTTAAATATTCCTGTATTTAGTTTTTTTTATATTCTCAACATATGTATTTTTTTATAAATTTTTGTAATTGTTTTTACCGGTCGCCATATATACCATTGTCCAGTAAGTATTAGTTGTTTGTTAAAATATACCCTGGTAACTATATCTACCACCCTTTGCAGACCTTCTGACAAAGCAAATATTTTTTCAACAAATGTCCTGTTACAGATACCTAATGAATTACTTTTACTATTCAAATATTTTTACAAAAAACAGTTCTGTCAATTAAAGGGTTAAAGTGCACTTTTAATTTATGAAATATTTATCAAATATTTGAAATTTATTGACTATTTCCCATCAAGAGGGCTCTTTAAACTTTGCGAAATTTTTCTCGAAATTTGCGTAACATCCTAGGTTATTAGCATGATCACTGACCACAATAGATCTGAAAAGGTTGCAGTGGAATAGGCCGAAAGGCCACCTCTCTTAATCTAATCTAGCATGATCACTACTGAATAATAATCAATTAACATTTTTGTTTTATGGGGTTTTATGTTTAAAACACCATAACATTCGCCTCTGTCGATATTTTGATACATATGTTATTTGTTATAGGTATAGGCTACGGGCAAATTTTAGGAACATTTTTTTGTGCTTCCTATTACGCAGTCATAACAGCAATAACACTGGTGTATTTTTTCAACTCATTTACTTCGAGTTTCCCATGGGCTACCTGTCAAGACCGATGGCAGGATTATTTGTATTCTAGGAATATAACCTGCGTGGATCAACTTAGCAACGGGACTGATACAAAAAATGGTACTATAACGTCTTCAGAGATGTATTTTAGGTAAGATATTCTATAGTTTAGTTTTTAAAATGTAAAAATATTTAACTGCAACATATTTATTATTTATTGTACTAAATAAGACGTTAAAAAGTATGAGCATAATAGGTTAATCTAATATATTGTGTTACCTTAATACATTAGATTAACATCCAAGGTAATAAGGTAGTATAATAATAAAACTACTATCATTTACAACTTCAAATATTTTTGATTCAAACGTAACTATTCATATAATAAAATTTGCAACTATACAATCGAAGTTAAGCCATTTGATGGGATTCTATACAGTATAGTGCAACTTAAAAATACTTCTGGTGTTTGTTGTCTTTTCTGACATCATTTTCAAGGTTACCCTTTTTTCTGTCTGTAATTTAGTTTTTGTTTTTACTAGATTTGGAAATGCCTTTTACTGTTAACCTTTCAGTAGACGTAGCTTGTCTAGGAGACCGGTGGGATTCTTTTTTTTGGCCCTAGGTTCAAGACCTATTTAGCCAGACAATTGGTTGAATACGTATAAACAATCTCCTACACTTATTTTAAATTCATGACAATTTCCTAACCGGTCGTTCATTAACTCAATTTTCTAATCTTCCCATTGAAAACATATTGGGTGACTATACAAAAAGGATTGAACAGGTTCACACGCTTCACGCTAAGGTGCCCTTCATAGGGACTTTTTTTTAACACAAACATTACAGGCAACGGTTAAATGCAAATGACAAAAAAGGAAAGACTGTGAAAAATACAACAACTAACGTCCTACCATTTCGGATTCACACAACACTTAAAAAGACAGTTTAGATTTAAAGGCAGTAAATAGAAAATAGAAGCAACGTTTTGCGGCAGTATAATTTTTTGTTGGAAGATGGCTTGAAAAAAAAAGTTTTATGGCTTCTTGATTATACCCACATTGAAACATTCAGTGGTTAAGGTCGTCATAACTGCTATCGCATTCACATACATCAGTTTCGGAAAGTTTTTTTTTATATAGGTAGGCTTTTATGAGAAACGAAGTTTCCGTCATCTGGGGGAGTAGATGTAAGAGTTGGATATATACTGCGGTATGTATTTTTACTACTGTTAGTAAAGGATTGCCACTCAATTTCCCAATTAAGTCTAGCATGTTTCTTACTAGCTGAAACTAAATCCCATTGGGCAACTCGTTGTATTCTATACCCACTAAAGTAGCGTCTTTAGCCAAACGATCCATTCTTTCATTGGTTAGAATATTAGAGTGACCTTTAACCTACACAAAATTAACAATTCTTTTTAGAGAAGTTAGGATCCTTAGGTTTCCAAGAGCATCTACAATTAGTCCGTTGGTATATATGTGTTTAGAGAATTATTTTAATGCGAGGAGGACGGACTGTGAGTCCTATAAAATTATATATCGTTCGAAATATAATATGCTAATAACTATTCAATCCAACGCCTTGACAATGGCTACCAATTCAGCTGTGAATATTGAGCAATCTGATTTTAATTTGTATTGAAAATAATCTTGAATATTGTCTATGTAAATGGCACAGCCAACATAAGCAGGCGATTTTGAGCCATCGATATAAATTTTACAAGAATGGTTAGAGTCTTCCAGCTTGTTCTATATCTACTACTAAATCTTCGTGAACAATTGAAATAGATAAAGAAATTACTACAGCAGATTTATATTCATATAATATGTCATAATAGGAGCCAAAGAATGAAATCCTTTCTCCATTGAATGAATATTGTGATAAATTGGAAAAAGCAACAAGAGTTGGAGAGTTTTTATTTGCCCACCATTTTGTTTGTTAGATTTTCAACAGAGAGACAACATACTTTTTGTATAAGCGGTTTTGATTATTAAACTGGCATTAAAGAATAATTTTTTCTGCTAAAAATAGACGTCTTAAATGTAAAGGTTGCTTGTTACATTCTGCCAAAAAGGCTGGTGTGGGAGTAGATTTGAGAGCTCCTAGGCCTAACTTTAAAGCTAATTATACAAAGATATTTGAACCAACCCTTTGTTGGATCAACTAATGCAGAGATAGTGTTAGATTTGGAAAATCACTGGCTTGGCCACTTAGAAAGAATGCCAGATAGTTAAGCTGTAAATTTAATGGGGAGATAAAAACCTCAAGAAAACAGGATAAAAGAAAGGCCCCGTAGAAGGTGGATAGACGATGTATAGAAAGATCCTAAAACCATGAACATCAGACAGTGGCGAAGGAAAGTATCCAACAGGGCAGAAATAAAGAACGTTGTGAAGTAAGACAACAGCCACAAGGGGTTCTAGCGCCATTAGAAAAAGAAGAAGAGTTTACAATACGATATTCTCTTATCAACTAACTCACTTATAAGAGCGCCGCATTTATATAACGAATTCTAGAATTATCTGGAGTAGTCCACCTCTATTCTCGCTTATATGAACGCCTCGCTCTGTAAGCCAATGGATACATCTGGAGAGCCTCATCTTCAAGATTCTGGTCTATGCTTCATCAGTCTAAGAGTTGCAACCGTTATATGAGGTACGTCGAAATTAGCTTGTTCGTTACAATTATCCTCATCTCACCGTGGAAGTAGAAACGTGTCAAAAATAAATATAATGTAATGTTTCAATATAATCAATTATTGTGGCTTAATTATAATCATAATAATGTTTAAATATAATACTTGCGTAACCGTATATTTATATCGAATGTAACATTGTGTTCTTTTGTAAAATGTGTCAATGACTCCAAATAGTTGAGACCCATCAATCGTAAATAAAAACTACATCTTCAACTTCAGCTAATACAGAAGCGATCTAATAACAAATTTATTATTATTAATTTCTTTTAGGAGAGATGTTTTAGAAGAAACCGACGACATATCTGACGGCATTGGATTGCCAAACTGGAGACTTGCTCTTCTACTACTCTTCACTTGGACCATAACATTCCTCGTATCAGTTAAAGGAGTAAAAAGTTCCGGAAAAGCGTCGTATTTTCTAGCTATATTTCCCTACGTGATTATGATAATCTTGTTCATAAGATCGGTCACTTTGGACGGAGCTGTTGATGGAATGCTTTATTTTATCAAAGCTGATTTTAGCAAACTTCTAAAAGCAGAGGTAAATTCTTTATTGGTTTTATTATTGTATTATTAGGTGCAAAAGCTTTTTAGGTATGGTACGCAGCTGTGACACAATGTTTCTTCTCCTTGGGGGTTAGTTTTGGACAAATTATAACTTTTTCTTCATACAACAAATTCGATCATGATATTAACAGGTATGTACATTTATTTTTTAACTTAAATACGTATTGGAGTACGTTAAAAAAAATAATAAAGATGATAAAAACATTTAAACTAGAAATTAGAAATATTTATGCTAAATGGCGGTACTTATAACGTGTTTTCCAAAATGCAAGACAAACTACCTCTTGCTTTTACTTCCAAAAAACGAGTGAAAAAATTTTTTGGAAAATAATCCAACAAACTTAATCACTCCTCATGTTTTGGGGGTTGGAGGATGCGCTGTGCCAATCATAACGATCTAACTGTCGACTGTCAACGAAAATTTTCTGCTAAAAGCGTATTCTGCCAATAACGTGCTTTGCTTAGGCGCAGAAGCTAACAGTTTTAACCGGGAATTATGAATGTTATGAATGTTACAAACGTATATAAATCAATTCCGCTACATGCTTTGTCCAAAATAGTTAATTGATGATAAATAAATGACATTCTAGATAAATTGCTTTCACGATGCCTTACCAACAACAGACAATACTAAATATTTACATAGAACTCATAAAAATACATAAAAGTTCAGCAGATACTCAGTCTACTAGCAAAACACAAAATTCCACATAAGCTAAATTATCAATGGCAAACTGTCAATGATCAAAAAAGATTTCGAATCCCGAAAGAAAAAATTAAAAACGAAGACAAACTACGATTAAGGATTACTGGTAATCTGGTAAACCCCACCTTATTCATAGGTAAGGTAGCAAATAGCAATCCTCTAATAGCTCTAAGTACAATCAAAATCCTGAGAAGCTTATTCTAAGATTACTAAAGTCTTTATAGAAAAAAAAAACAATGTTCAGGATGAACAAAGCACGTTCAATAAAAAAAATTCTCCAAGATGAAATTCATAATAGTGTAGAACTATTAAAACATGAAGTCGAACAAATATGGAGCACCAAAATTATAAAACAAAAAATGTCTTACCTATGCTGTTTGTGGATTTGAAGAACAGTCAAATAAAAAAACATGCTAAACAACAAACTACAGTTGGCTTGTTTCACCTGTTGAACAAAATGAGCAGGAAAAAAGTATGTTTCCTTTAGGTGAAATTTCATAACATTAACTTTGTGTTATCATCTTAATAAATATAACCATGATTGTCATCTAATTTAAAGGTGTTTAAACCTAGTTCAGTAGCTAGTTTCAACTACTTTTTAAAATGTTTCATTGATGATGGTCCGACTGAATCCAAAACGTTTTGGAATAATTGTAATCCTTTGGATAAATTAGATTATTGTATATATTAGATAATAAATTAGATTATCAGATTTTGTCTTGTTTTAGGGATGCATTTATTATTACCACATTGGACACTTTTACCTCGCTACTATCAGGTTTTACCATATTTGGCATTCTCGGTAACTTGGCACATGAATTGAATGTACCTCCGAGCGAAGTTATATCGAAAGGCGGCGGTACTGGTTTGGCATTTGTGTCATATCCTGATGCTATTTCCAAATTTACCTTTGTACCTTGGGTAAGTACGCAAAAATACGCAAACAAACACACTCACAGGCAACTGTAAAGTTGACACACGAGAAAGGCAGTACCAAGCTAGCTACTTTGTTGGTGTATTTGAATCTGATTGGATTATTTTTTTTCGGTGTTTTTTTTGATAGTTCGTTTTGTGGGTGTTGGCACTGGGGTCGTTGGGTCTCACTGGTAGTTTTGGCTTGTTGGATGTTCATTTTTGCGGAGGAGGTAGCTTTGCAGGGTAGTCAAAGGTGAAATGGTTGATGTTTAAAGAGTTCTTTTCAGAAATTATTCTTTATTACTGGTTGTGAATGATATATGACTGTATTTAAATATATAAACAGTTAAATATGAATTAATGTCGCGTTTAGGGCAGCTGTAGCTGTATCTTCCCTAAGAACAGGCATAAGTGAACTATTTATGTAGTTTAGATAATAAAATGAAGTTGCCTCTAGGATGTCTATATATTCATCAGGGAGTTCATCTAAGGTCAGTAAATCTAAGTAGTTTTCTTTTGGGGTGCCTTATGAATAACCCCTTAATACCGAAGGATGAGCAGGTAGTTTTGTATGTGTTTTGGGCTCTGAAATCTTGGCATCTGATGATTTTAATCGTCTCGACACACACGAATATGGGATCTGAATGACGTTTTTGACAAGGAACATTAAAAAATATATTTCTTATACTATATTTGTGTTTATTGAGATTGCCATGCCATATATTGAATATGTGGGATGGCTTTCTAATTTTATAATTTGGAAAAATTGACAAAAAACTAATATTTTTAGCTCTATAACTCAAAAAGAATTGACTTGTGAGTCGTGTGTAATAAGAACTTTTAAAAAATATGATCGAAGCTATTTCTTAGCAAAGTTTCAGCCAATTTAACTGTAACCACTTTTACATAAGAAATATGTCGAGATTCTTTGTAATTTTCTAACTTTTATAGTCCTTTTTCTGTCTCCTTTATTTATAGATTAGTATTATAAATATGTTATGTTTTAGGCGTTTTCCATAACATTTTTCTTTATGCTTTTCGTTTTGGGCATTGGAACCTTAGTAGCTGCTCATGCCACCGTTATAACATCCATTAAAGATGCCTTAATAAACATTCCTGATTGGATCATAGCTTCTGTTACTGCTTTTGCCTTGTTTAGCCTTGGACTACTCTATACTACCTCGGTAAGTTAACAAATTGAATGTATTTTGAGAAAAATATATTATTTATATAAATAAAAACTAGTATTTAGAGAATTGGTGGAGAAATATACGTATTTGGGTCATGAAATAAGAATTAGCAGGGATAACCAAACATGCGAAATCCAAAGATAAGTTAATTTAGCCTGAGTAGCCTTTGGAAAACTGCGAGACACACTTAGGACTGAAATGGAACTGGGCAGGCCATGCAGCGAGAATGCACGACTCAGAATGGACGAGCAAAATTACGAATTGAAGGCCAACAGCAGACAAACTTAGTAGAGGAAGACCACCTACACGTTGGGCTGGTGACATCAGGCGTATCACGAAAAATTGGCAACAAAGAGCACAAAATCGCAAAGAAAGGAGGAGTTTAAGGGAGATCTATGTTCAGCATGGACGTGATAAATAAAGACTAGATGATGATGATAATGATTTAGAAAATTTTGGAATATACAAGTAATTGCGTTTAATTAACGTCGGATATGAAAAAGATATGAACAATACAAATAAAATTCAAATATGTTTTTTAATCAAATTTTTGTGAAATTAAACTTTTTCTTATTTTATATTAAAAAACGTTGGTATTTTAAAAATATTTTAGTATGTTTAATGTATAAATATATTTTAATATATTTCTGTATATTTTTCAGGGTGGTCAGTATGTGTTAGATTTAGTGGACCATTTTGGAGGTACTTTTGTTGTATTTATATGCGCCATATTGGAAACATTGACGATAACATTTCTATATGGTAAGATAACATTTGCTCTATTTAGTTTTTTGATAGCATTAAGATTGTATTCTGTATGAATATTTGATATCGTTGATTTCGCTATATATTTCGTTGATAATACAAAATTACCTTTTAGCACGTTTATTTTTTAAAAATTTTGAATAATACTACAGATTCATTTACCGCCCACTTTTGTCAATATTTGCCATAATAGTACTTTTTTACAATTTCATTTTCATTCTCTCAATATTTTCATCATTTGAAAATATTGTTTTTTATTATCACACTTTCACTTGTAGGTCGATATTCATGTTCTTCTTTAATATCGTATCCATCTTCTATATCAGACAAGTCAGATTGTTCTTCATTATAAAATATGTATACCTTCTTAAAATATGTAGTACTTTTAAAATTATTGTCTCATGGATTACTTTTTTTTATATTGGAAACCAAATCCATTTAAAAATAACAAGTTTTACATAAAAATCTTTTATATATAACAATTACAAAAATTACCTTCGGTGAGGTGGAGTCACTGAGACTCTGATTTCTAATTTGAACGTGTTCACAGTACCCTAACTAAATATTCACATATATCTGAATACTAAACCAATAACTACCAATAGTGACTTAAAGGTACATGAGCACGCGCAAGATTCAAGGTCACCGGAAAAAAGTTACAACTTTGTAATGTACCAGGAGTATGTGTGATTCCAGCTCACCGATTATGAGATTATATTCGTTTTGTATTTCCTGTGTATGAGTGACTAACTACTCACAAGAACGAAGGGCCTATTCATGACCTATACAATCGTAAAGTTTTATTTTTTTCCTTTATTTCGTATTTAAATTTAATGTTTTAGGAATTAATAACTTATGTATGGATGTGGAATTTATGACCAAACGAGAAGTTGGAATTTACTGGAGAATAACTTGGGGTCTAGCGATGCCAATTTTTTTAATTGCCATATTATTTATTTCGTCGGAACCTTGAAACCTATGGTGTATGGTATCTACAGCCTCTCGTATCCTTTGGGTCTGACAGGTGAGATTTCGCATACTACAATAAAGTTAACTTGGATAATATCACATTGCATTATTAAAAAGTTGGACTATTTGTTTTAAAATTTCATTATATTTTTATACTGAGGCAAACCAATCTTAAACAAAGTATGATTCCGTAAACAGACAAAAAGGACTCTCTATCTGCAGCTCTGTATAATCTGTGTCTATAGTGAGTGCTACTAGATAGCTTTTAGAGCTTAGGAACAAAACGCTATCAGACATTGGCTTATGCAGATATTTCGATTCTATTATATAGTATTAGAGTATTATTATCACGCAGTATATATTATTATTATCTAGTTATAGCTAGCTTTGTTAGTAGATGTATCAAGGGATCATGTGCAGTGTTTTCAAACTTCAGCAGAAAAAGTGAGGCTAGTCATTAATGAAAAGAAGTCAAAGTAGATAAAACTTACAGTACCTCAAAATAAGATTAAGTTATCTTCAAGATCAAAAAGAATGCAGACCTAGAAAGCGCCCTAGAAATAGAATAAGGTGTGAATTTCACTTACCTAGGAACTAACATAAAGATGACTATGAGCTGTACGCAAGAATGCTAAAACCAAATGAAAATACTTTAATACAAAACAGTTTTCTCGTTTCATTTCGGCACAAATTTTGAAGCTATTATCAAACGGTTCCGCTCGATTTCGGGGTCTCAATCTGCGGGGTGACGTAGTAGTATCGCGTTCTATATAAATACAAGAACCGCCAAACAGCACTGAGGTCTCAATCTGCCTACTCCTCAGTCACTCGATACTCAGTCATAAGAAAAACCAATCCCAAAGATTTTCATCATTTTGTTTAAAGATTCAGACTCTCATCATACGAAAGCTTTTCTTTCTTACATCAACGGTGTCACTGATAAAATCGACAAAATTCTTGAATCAAGAGGAATAAAAACGATATTTATTCCCTAATAAAAGCTTTCATCTCTTGTCCTATCAATGAAAGACAACATTCCAAATGAACAACACGGATTTTCAAAATCCCTTGTTTATATAGGCCAAACTAATCGTAAAATTCAAAATAGGATTTATGAACATTCCATTTCTGTTCGCAATTCCGACTTAATTTTAGCTCTAGATCAACACCATCTTCATACAGGTTACAAATTTCATTTTGAAATCTCCAGAACCATATCCTCCATACGCTTCTATAAACCAAGAATTATCCGCGAAGCCATAAAAACTAAAAAAAAATGGCAAATTGTCTCAATCAAAGAGATGCCGACATACGGTTAACTTCGACATGAAGACCTCTCGTAAAGATAATATCGTGCGCTTCACCCTCCAATAAAATTCTGCAGTAAAAAATGTTTGCGCCAACTTCCAAGTCAACCCTTACGCCAACTCCCACGCAAATCAACACGCCAACCTGCACCCAAATAACATTACCATCGACGCGACGTTGTAAAAGAACCGTCTGCTTCCAGTAGCAGTAGTACATTGATTAACCATCAGTGTACTCTGGGGGTTTGGGAGCCTAAGACTTCGAAAGCCTTGAAAGACACAACAGAGAGGATGTCGAAAGCTTGGCGCAGTAATAATCGACGCGTTTCAACTCATAAGCTGGTTCAAATTTAATAATAATTAATAAAGAAAAACAAAATAGAAACAATCTATAAAGAGAATGAATGCTAGAAAGGATGAAAATCAAATTACTAAACAACTAAAATTGTAGGACAAATATTAAAAGGATTAAACGGAGTTTATTACTGAAACAGGCAATGCCGTTGTGCAATAAATCATTTAAAGAGTAAAATTTCAGCAGAATTAAAGAGTATCAGACCTTGACAGAGTATAGCCTTTTCTTTATGTTGTTATATTCTACTAATTTCTTTAATTATTTTAGTTATGGGATGGAGTCTGATAGGCCTGGTTGTACTACAAATGATATTTTGGCTTCTGTATTATATGTACAAACACAAAAACTTCAATATCAAACAAGTGAGTATTTCGATTTTACTTTGTTTAAAGTGTATTATTGTACAAGGGTGACGAATAAGATAAGAATTTTTAATTGGGTGCTACATTTCTGCAGCCACAAATACATCATGGTCTATCGGCAAATCAGTATACAGCTGCACCACAATTTGCTCATCATACGGCGAGATTGGTGCAAGATCTTGCCATCAAAATGTAAAAAGTAAAGATACTGGAGAACAAACAAAAAAATACAGTCAATGCATACGCATTTAAATGTCTGAGTAACGTAACCAGACAACTTTAATATTAATATATTATTTTCAAGTCACTTGACTATTTCCAAGCATAGAAGACAACAGTGAATAACAAAAACGTCCCTAAAATGTCTCCCATATTTTCATTTTAACTTTAGCTTTTGCAATTACATCCTGTCCACTGAAACGAGATATGAACCGATGAAAGTTTCTCATTGCGTTCTCTACGACGGCAAAGTTTCTATCACAGGGCAGAAAGCTGTGTCCACTAGTTAGAAACTTTTGCTCATTTTGGGTGAAGCATTTTTCTAACAGTTGTAGTCTAGTATTGTTATGACTTTCCAATTGTTATTATGGCCGAAACATCTATCTGACCAAATAGCATGTTTTCTTTCTTGGCCTGGATCAAGACGATTGAAGTTTTCACCCATATAAAGTAGCAATGCTGATGCTATCTCAGTGGAGTCTTGATGCGTCATTACTTCGTTTCATAGCCTCATTGTTCAGTATTACTCCCCATATTATGAACAGCGTAGTTATACGAAGAAAGTTGTCGCTGGTAGAAGATGAGTGAGTTAGATTAGGGCAAAAAAAACGTTTGTTGCAAATCAGTACATAAAACGACACAATTAAATCAGTACATAAAACGACAAAATTAGCACTTACTTTTGCAATTTCAGTATCTTGCGTTAATGTTAATGTTTCACACTCATCGCTAGCAGAAGAAAGCTTGATAAAGAGCTTGTCACAATATGAATAAGTATTTTGATCTGAGAAGTCCAAAATGCAAGTTGAATTTACTTTTAAAAATGTCGTGGTAGGTTCGTAGAGAGATATTTGTAACAAGGTACATTTTAAAAAATAATCTTTACATATTTGAGATGGTTAAATCAGCTGGAAGGCAAGTCTTATAAAATTCCCTACAGTCAGCAGTATATTATTTTGCACATACTATATAACGTTGTTTCATAAAAAACCCACATGAAAGTAATTGGCATATTTCGTTCACTTTAGAATAGCTAAATACCTCTAATTCAACATTTTAGATGATTTCCAATACATTCTCAACAAGTGCATGGGAGCCTGATGATCCGAAAGTGAAGGAGGATTGGAAAAAATACAGACAAGATGCAGCAATCAGCAACACATTAAAAAGGCGATCGTGGTTTAGAAGAAAATTGAAGACAATTACCGGACTTTAGGATAATTGTATGTTTAACTGTGATATTATTTAATGTTAATTGTAATAAAAATTTCAGATGGTATTTGTGTAAATTGTTTTATTTTAAATTTTGATTATTTGATTAGTTGTTGAGTGTCTAGTATAAGAGCAAAGTAAAAACTACCAGCGACATATAATAAGTTAACCCTTTACCGCATGAATTTTTGTTTTTTGTCAAAAATAAATTCTCAGATAACAATTTTAATTCTATTTTTACGTAAACATATTGAAAAAAATCTACCTACAGGAAAACTTTATTGACAAAAAAAATGTTTGGTGCCAAATAGAGAATTTGCATCTTGACCTAGTGCTCTCATCCCAATAGGAAAAAGGATCAAGCCCATCTTTACGGATGTCTTCTTGGGGCATTTCTTTAGTGGGTCCCTTTTTTCGTTTGTTTTCGTGCATCTGCTGAATTCTACTACTTGACGGTCTTCCTACTCTGTTCTGGTTAATTGGTTTTCCGGCTTTGCATAGACCATCGGCTATTGCTAGTTTGGTATTCAAAAGGCGTAAATTAAATTTCTTCGCTCTTTTGGTTACTAACCAACAATTCGCGGCTGTCATGTTAATAAAATGAAAAAATATTGTATATAATTCGTAAATAATATTTCTTCGACATCCTTACATGAAATCAAGGAGATATACACCTCCCCCCCATTATTTGTTGTAGATTAGGACACTGTTAGGATAAGGTATCATTTTATATATACTTTCTTGTTTGAAAAATCTTTTTTCTCCCTTTGGTGCACTTCCAGCATATGTTGACACGGTAGTAACGATTTTATTATCAAACCTGGACACTGACATCCACATTGTCTATATTGGCTATTTTCTCTACCATATGACCTCTTCCGCACTTCTTTATTTCTTTCTAAGATGGCATCACAACTCCAGGAATACGTTTAAGTCTTACTATTCCCAAAGGTAAAATGACCTCTTTGGTCAGATATATCATAAGAGGTATGCTGGTAAACCAATTGTCAAAAAACAACTAGTAATACTAATGTTTTGGTATCGAATCTGCTAATTTGATAACTACGTTGCTGTTCATACTAAGAATTGGTGCTCCTAGAGGTAAAATATGACTCTGGTACCAGCAAACAAATTATATAAGTCATAGCTGAGTCCCGAAATACCACTCAGCATAAAGTTTTTGAAGCCCCACTGATGTGTTTTTTTGCTATACTGCTTTAGCTGACTTCGCCTTTTGTTGTATAGTTCGTCTACAGCTAGAAATTCTTCTTTCGGTACCATGAGTAGTCGTTCTTTGATTTGGCTCAGAACAGGTCTAATTTTGAATAATCTGTTATGACCATTTTCAATCATGTCATCATTCGTATTGAAATGCAAGAAACGTTTTATTTCTTCAAATCTGTTACAGCTGATCACATCGCCAACTGTTTGGTGGTCAATATTGGCACTCCAACAGTGTCTTGTTGATGAAGTTGAATTATCGACATGTAAATAGTAATTCCTATAAATTGTTCCATTTCATATTTTTTTTATATTAGCTGGTTTATCTGGACGTTGTTGCACTAAGTATAAATTTGATTGTTCTGTGATATCAAGAAAGATAAACTTAAAACATTGGACTGGAGTTTCTAATTGTAAAATCGAAGAAGGTAAATTTTCACAACCAGTAAATTTTGTATCATTTTATGATTTCCGATTTCCTTTCACTCAATTATTAGATTTCTTCCTTTTTATCGTAGTCTTTTAGACAATGAGGTATCATCATCTGAGGAATCTAACGATGTAGCAGATATTACAGTTTCTTTATAATAAAAAATTTTTTTTTGGTTTGTACCATTTATGGCACATGATGCGGTAAATGGTTAAAAGTAAATAGTTAAATATTAAAAAGTTAAAGGCTTCGTCGCTTCTGGCGACTATAATCGCCTTAACTCTATTGAGGAGTAATGATCCGTCCAATTTGACAATACAGGTTACATTGAAGCGTTTTAAACTACAAATTACTTTAGAAAGCTCTCAAATACTGTCAAATGTTTCAGACTTTACGAACCGTCAAATCAAAAATATATTGACATTGGTTACCCTACTATAAAGTTCTTCATTGGTTCCACAAAATCGATCAAACAATTATTCTAAACTGAAATGCTACTTTGGTAGTAAAAAAGTTTTATTCTCTCTAGTATTATGTGTAAATACATTAATCAATGCTATCGTATTAGTATAATGATTCTAAATTTCTACTAAAATTTCGCTAAATTCCTTCCTTAATATTTTTATACGAAATAAACAAGTGGGAGGAAATTTTCTACTGTCGGTCGTTTCTGTTAATCATAAAATTAAACATCTCTCTACGACCATCGCTAATAGATACTTCATGAGTATTTATTTTGTATATTTGCAAGTACTTATTTAACATCATAATAACTTATAATTTCGATCTAACTTTAACGATAATAAAATTGCTTAGCAAATTGACTTGTAAACAAGTTATTTGAAGCTAAATTGCAATTAACACATTTGACACACCTGAATGGTATTTTAGTTTCGAATATTTTAATTTACGGATCTCTCATCTCCTTGCAGGATATATTTAAGGTACTATTGCCGTAAAGAATTCTAAATTTTTTTACATTTTTTACATTTTTTTTTTTGTATCTGATCTATTAAACATGACAATAAATTTACTGAAACTCAAACAGAGGAGACTCTTATATTACTACTCAGATACAGAAAAAAGAAAATCGTACATTCTACCACCACGTGGTCAAAAATGCAGCCTTAAATACTTTGACAAAATTTCTCCAGAAGAAACGTGAACACATTTTTTCAAAATTTTATAGGCTTGGAGATCTTGAAAAGCAAAAAGAACATATAGCTTCAAATATGACACAAATCAATCCAAAATATAAATGTAGTAATATTGCGAATCCAAAAAACCGAATAATGCATTTACCTTTATAATTTCTAGGCAAAACATAAACGTTTGCATTTATTTCAACTTTAGCAATTAAGAATAGAACTATTCAGACTGTACTCAAAAACAAAGTATTTGTGAATCCGGTAAGATTACTGATGTAGATAGAAGACGAGAACACGAAAATCTTAAAAGGAAAGGTACCGAAATACAAGATAAAATAAGGTTACACATAGATTCAATACGAGAGTCTAGGCTCACTATTGTAGAGCTAACTTCACGCGAATTTATAGAAGGTGAAAAACTTTGTTAGATTTACATAGAGATTATGTAAAATTATGCCAAGAGAAGTGATTGGAATATGGAAATTACCAATTTTATAGCAAAATCTTTAAAGATCAGTACAAGCTTCCAATAGAAAAAGTAAAAAATACAGATATCTTGTTACGATTATTAATGAAAATAACGAGTATACAGAAGAAATAAAAATGAGAATTGGACAAGCTAGAGCAACAGATAAATGGCCGACTTGTTGTAGCCAAATTTAAATGTAAACTTTGGATACCAACTACAAGAAACGAAACGGAAATATTCTTTGGGGTAACTGTATAGATGCGATTGCTAAAAGCACCACGATTACGCGACTATTGAAGCAGAAATTACTTATTTGTTACCAATATAAGACACAAAATGTTTAGAAATCGTTTTGAGAAATTATTTTCAAATATTCACTTTAACAATAATGAAACAGCACCACAACCAAACTCACCGGATTTTGATCGGCTTCACAAAATATCTCCGTTGCTTCAAAAAAGTATTTTTAGATTTCAGCAAATTGTTACTTCAGGAGAAAATGTCTGTATTGAAGAGACGATGGTACCTTATCGTGGTCGCTTGAAATTCAAGCAATATAGTAAAAATAAAAAACACAAATTGGATATAAAATTATATAAGCTTTGATTAGAAAACGGCTACACTTATGGCCTGAAAATTTACTGTGGAAAAGATAGTCAGGGTGGTCAAAATGCCTCTTTATCTGTTGTTCTATCACTTATGGAAGTGGTTGTTTAGATAGTGGTCGTACTCTCTTCACAGATAATTATTATACGAGCGTTACCCTTGCTTATATACTGCTCAGCTGTACAACCCACCTTGTAGGCACTGTTCGGTCAAACAGAAAAATGAATTGTCCCGAGGTTGTCAAGAAAAAACAAAAAAAAAAAAATGAAAAAATTGCCCTAAAAGTAATTCCGAAGTTGTAATGACGTCGACTTTGCTAAGTATCAAGACAATTACTCTACACAAACAAACACACACACACACACTTCATTAATAAACTAATCTTGATTGAGACTGGCTGAATGACAATTGTCCAAGCCAAAACACACACAAAAAAAAGAAGTTGTAATGTTAAAATGGTGGTGACAAAAGAGATGTCTTGATGACTAGTACAAAGCATGGGGATTAAATGTTGAAACGTCTACACAAAGGCAAAAAAATTGAAAAGCCCAAAATGATTCAAAATCCTTTATTGATCTCTCAGATTAGAAAAAAGCGCATTCACATTGCTTGAGACGAGGAAATAAATGAGACAGCAAATTAGCCACAGAATTATTGTTTGGTAGTGCCTTGTTGAATGCTCATATTGTATATACACAGGTTACACAAACTAAATTGACTATAACAGAGTTTAAAACAGAAGTCGCTATAGAACTACTGGGAGAAATATCCGCTATTGAAACTAATATCAACGATAACACCGATGTCAGTCATGAGCTTGTAGAAGGAAGAAAAACAGATGTGTTGTTTGCTACGTCAGAATGAAGCAAGAATTGGGGTGGAAAGAAAGCTCAAAACAAGTGTTCTCGTTCTAAATTTTTGTGCAACCAATGCAAAAACATTATTGTATTTCTTGTTTTTTCTTAACACTTAATGATGTTTTAAAATAATAAGGTGTTATATTATTATAATTATTTTTGCACATTCTCAATAAAATCTTTTTTTTTTTATAAAGTTTTATAATTTCCATATCTATCGTAAAAACCGTCTCACATCCGATCAGGAAATATTATTTTGCTCATTGGACGACCCTGTTTAACTTAAATGTAATCTATATAGCTGTGGGGG